TATTTTAGCTTGAGTTTAAACAATGATTTTGCTTTAACCCTTTAAAGTCAAGTGTATCATATTTTATATGTGAGTGACTTTGAGTTCTTTAGATTTCTACATCACCAGTGTGAGTTTTCCTCCTGAAAAAAACAACAAACTGCACGGTACATTTTTAAGAAATCAATTGCAGAAAAATGACTGAAAATTATCTACATTTTAACAGATTAAAATGATTTAAATTAATTTGATATATGCAAATTAATATTTAATAAATTTTTATTTCATCATAAGCACGCCACTTAAAAAGAAATTGAATTTTCTGGCAAATATTTCATGGCTCAGGCTTTACATTTTAATGTTGTGGGTTTTTAAATTTTTAACAATTTTTTTTTTTTTTTTTTAGCTTTTTTGGAAGTATTTAAAGATCCACAAAGGATCAAAGCAAAAAAAAAAAAAAATTAAAAGATTTAACAATACATTTTTATACAACATAAACAAGACAGCTGTTTAATGCAGAGAACAATTACAAATAAAGTGTAGAACCATAAAAAGTGTTATATGTAGCTTGATTAATCTGTTGTACTTATATTTATGTGATTCTGACCCTGTCCACTGTGCCGCTGCAGACGCTGACGTCCCGCCAGAATGTGTGGACTACCCTGAGCTTGCCAACTGTGAGCTGATAGTTTACGCCCGACTTTGCTCCAACTCATACTACTCCAGTTTCTGCTGTGCCAGCTGCACCAGGCATTCACAGAAGAAACGACAGGTTTGGTCGACCAGGTTAAAGCCACAGAGGGTGTAAAAACTATGTGATGTGTGGTGGTGGACACTGGGGTGGGATCTGAATTCCCATTTAGATTCTAAAAAAACTCGAGCTGTCGACTACGAGCTGCTGCATTTGCCAAAAGGACTCAAAAAACCCTGAGCAGATTGTACAGAAATGTATTTCAATATTGCAATCTTAAAAAAGGGACGGATCACTGTAGATGCACAGTAGTTAAAGCTACAAAGTAAGTGGTGTTCAGGGAATCTTATGGAACGATAAAAGATGGGCCTTAAAATATAACGTAAACCTGTAAAGTCTGAATGTGATGAGACGATGAACTCGTTCTTACTCTGCCACACCTTTTAAAATGAGTTATGCTCTCACTTAATCTATATATTCTCTGTTTTTTGAGAATCGTGATGATAATAACTCTTATATATGTTATTAAAAAAGCTGAAATGACTTTTTTCATGCCAGTAAATCACTGATACAAGGCTGCACTCATTGCTGCTTCTGTATCATATAATGAAACTCTACAAGACTTTTCCACTATTTTTTTATTTCTATGTAATTATTTGACAATAAAGGTCATATTTTGATAAAAACTTTGGTTGAATTCAATGACTGTACGTTATACACGTGTGCTGAATTGTTCCAGGTTCTACCACAAGGTGTCGCCCAACATGAGAACCACGGTTTCTCATTCACTTGATGGAAACTGAATATGAACATAACTGAACCTTCACTGGAAAATAATTCAGTGACATCTCTAAATTTATTAGAGATGTTTTTCCACTGCATATTGCAGTATCGATTCCAACCGTCAAGTCAAGCAATGTCTAACAGTAAGAATAAACATTTGTAACATCTCTCAGCAATCAGCTTTTTTTTGCTCTTGTGGTGTTTTCATAGACATAATTTAACCACTTACGTCCTAGCTTTAAGATGGATTTGCTGACTTTACAAACAAAACAATCTTTAGCTAACAGTCAGTATTTAATCTCCTGGCCGTGGTGTATATTTGTGGAACGTTCTCCTTATATCTTTAATATTTTTTAGTACAGTTGTGAGCTATAGTATGGCAGACAGACAATAAACGGTATAGTGCAATATATTACTTAATGTAGCCATTAAGTAAAATAAAACTCATTGTTTAATAATCCTTATATTTACAGTTCAGGTCCAAGGCTTTGCACATTAGGATGTTATAAAAAATAATCTGGCCCTTTCCCTAAGATTATGGAAACACAACCTCAGACAAACATCAGGTTATGTCATGTTATTATTTAACAAAAAGTGAGCCAACATGAAGAGGTCATTTGTGAACTGATCAATTGCAAGTGTGAGCTTCTTTATAAATGCAGACATTTAGGAAGCTTGCTGGTCTGCAGTGTTCTGGTGCTGATCTGAGACAAGAAACTGTTGCTGCCCTTCAGTTTGGGAAAATGTATGAGGTACTTTACAGACAATCTGAAATCCATCTCGCTACAGTGACGAGACAAAACATTTGCCAATCTTCCCAGCAGTGGAAGTCCCAGCAACTTGACTCCAAGATCATTCTGTAATACACAGAGAAACTGGGGGGAAAAAGAGCTTCATTTCAGACTCTACAGGCCTCAGTTAGCAGGTTAAATGTAAAGTTCATGACAGTTTAATGAGAGTAAGACAGAATAAGTATACCATATTTTGAAGAGCTACTAGGAGAAAGCCTCTTCTCTCTAAAAACAACATGGCAGCATGGCTTAGGTTTGCAACGTTCAACTTGAACCAACTGCACAGCACTGGAATGCGCAGGATCACTGTTAAGAGATGTACTCTAAAACACTTCTTCAGTAGAGAATCAGAGAAGAGAAACACGCAGAACTTCTTGCTAGCAAGGGCAGCCTCCAGAACTGAGACTCGCGCTGAGAAACTGCCCCGGACTTTCTTTATACTTCAGTGAGCGTTTGTTCCTTACATTGGAGTGTGTGTGTGTGTGTGTCCCCATAAACGACTTCCCTTAACCTGCTGGTCCAACAGTTCATCTATATGTAAAAAAGCACTTAGACTAAAACTGACATAGCTACGTTAATCCTACCGTAAAACAATAAAACAAGGTACGACCTCTCCCATGCTCCTAGGATGTGGGGGTGAACGCCAGAACACCCTGGAATGTTACAGACCTTCTAGGATGAGACATTCTTTCAATATGCCACCAACTATATACTTCTAAACACAAATGATTACATGCAGCATTCTACCATATGCAAACTTATATCATTAAAAGACTATACTGACTACTAAGTACAATTTTCCATTGACAATCACATATGATTAAAGCCAAACACAGTATATCAACATAAACGCCTCATATCAACTGTCAGATACGGTGGTGGAGGGGAGAGAATTTGGGTTTTGCAGCCACAACACGTGAGTACCTTACAGTCATTAAGTTGACCGTGGACTGCTCCGTATACCAAAGTATTCTGAAGTCAAATGTGAGGCCATCTGTCTAACAGCTAAAGCTTGGTTGAAAATGGATAATATAAAAGAACAATAATCTCAAGCACAGCAGCAAATCAACAGCAGAAAGACTGAAAAAGAGAATAAGTGGTGCTGGAGTGGCCTGGATAAAGTCCAGACTTCAACCTGAATGAAATGTTGTGTCTTAAGAGAGCTGTACATAACAAATGACTGAGAAGCTCAATGAATTGAAGCAATACTGTAAAGAAAAGTGAGCTTAAAAATTCATCTACAGTTATGCATTTTGGCTTAAATTTAGTGTAATAATTTGTTTTGTTACCAGCTTATAAGACCTGGTATACACTGGCTATTTTTTTTTTTTTTATTCGCTGACATGTAAAACCTTAGAATTGGCAGGGGATGTAATTTCTTTTTGTCATGGCTGTACCCGTCAGCTGTGATTGTGTTTTTAAGACGAAAAACCCAAACACTGGCTGTTTTCTTTATGAGCTCCGCACATGTGAGGTTTAAATTAGCAGCTTATTCATTTAAGGATCACATTCAGGGGAAGCTAAAATTATTTTCCTAACAGATGGCAGATGTGCCACATTTCTGTTGCTGCTTCAAAGACTACGCTTCCTGTTTATTTGACTTCAGGACAAGAAAACATGTTTTTCAAGGAAGCAACCAGGGAAAGCAGAATGTGACGGTTTGAACTGAGTCCTGTAAAAAGGCCAGATTATCTTTTGAATGCAGTCCCACACAAACCTTTATCTTATAGTTATATACACATGTGTACATTTAAACTCTGTCAGTTATGTTTTTAAATGAGCTGCTGATATTTGCCTGAAGTTCTGTGGCTTCCCCCAAGTCTGATTTTATCTGGTGCAAAATGTTGTGCCAGATCACTGCAAACAGCTTTTGCATAATGTATGACATTGTCTTTGTACAATGCGTAACTTCAGTTGACACAGAAATGGAAGTTTCCATCTGTTTGCTCATAGATGTGCAGAGCGGGGGGGTCGGTGCAAAGTTGCAGGTGCACACAGCGAGCCGGAGGTTGTGGTAAAGTGAAGGTTGCACCTCCGCCGTTTCTCAGCACGGAGAGCGAGCTGCAGGCTGCTCTGCGACCACATCCTCTCCTCTGCTGTTGCACTCTCCTCTGCAGGGTTTCATGCCCTGGTTTATCATTCTCACCCACAGCAGCTTTGACCTTCTTCAGTACACAGATGAAATGCTGATTTCCTGTTATGGGTTAGACTCGTGTTCTTATTTTGCTACAGAGAGTGTTTGAACTAAAGAAAGATATTCTTTGTTTAAGAAAGGAATGCATGTTGTCACACACTGTTTGTGTTTGTGGAAAAGGTGACTCAAAAAGTGAATTGATTTCCAAGAAAAGTAAAGAAAATTACTGGATGAAATTTAAATTTACTAGTAAATTTTAACAGACACTTTTTAGTCATCGGTTTTCTGAATGGAAAATCCTGTTATGAGTAAAATTAACCATCTTAAGAAGTTCTCCTGAGGTGAGATGTTTCAAGATTATGGGGGAGAAAATAGACGACTTCTCAGAAAACAGGCTAGTTGATGAAAAATACATTTTACAGTATCTCTGGAAAAACTTGAGATGTAAAACCAGAGAAAGGCGATGATATTCTTCACAAGTTTGATCAAATGACACATTATTATTCACCTGTCTCATCCTATCTTTTTCAAATTAAGTAATAGTGTTTGATATTATGATATGAAGACTGAGTCACAGCTTTAAAAAGTATTTCCAGGGCAAACTACACAAGAACAACACAGCTTTAAAATAATCTAACATACTTTTATTAAGAAGAAAATGAAGTTACAAACAGAAATCTCTTTGTGTCTAAAGAAAATTGACATCAGTCTATTTGAAAGGCAGTTATTAATTATATAAAGACAAATAAGCACATAAAAATCCACAGCAGAACTTGAACAGGCGATTAACAGTGTGCACTTTAACAATAGACTGTTTGAATGATATTTACAGAGAGCAAGGTAACTCATGTCCCAGAGTTACTTTTTGAGGCTTCAGCTCAGCTCTCAGTACTTCTGCTTTCCACCAAAACGCTGTGAAACATAGAAAGAACGCAGAGAGTAATAAGTCTTTGTTGTTACTGTTATTATAGAGAGAGACAATTTTTTTGGACAAGATTTGGACAAACCTGAAGCTTCCACACCAAAAATCCAACAAAAGCTCCATAGGCACAGCTCTTGACAGTAAGCACGCTGTAGACGACCTTGAAATTTTGTGTAGTTGTCAAATACTTCTCTGTAAATAAGAAATATTTAGTGATACAACACAGCTTCTATATTTCCAAGTGATGACAATCATGCTAGAACTGATTCACTGAAGGAATAATCTATAATATTTACCTCTTGACACAGAATTTGTCTCAGCTGTTTGAAAAAAAGAAGAAATTATTAGTTCACAACAGATGACTGAAATATTAAAAGATTTGCATATAATATGTGCATATAAGAGCAAAACGATTAAGTTCCACAAGAATTTACCCGTAACTCCGGCAATAACATCTGAATAATCTTTATGTACAGTGCCACTGAAGAAATTGACAACGCATTTAAAGATATTGTCAGGATTTTCCCATTGTTTGGCATAGACTCTCAGCCTGCTGGTGATTTTGTACACGGTCTGGTTGTTGTCATCTTTCCCTTCACGCGCAGCTTCATCTGTTGCCACACCATCAGTGACATTTTTCCCATTCATTTGCCAATACACTTTGACATGGTCAGGGTAGAAACCAGAGGCCACACAGACGAGGGTCTTCTTCCTTTTTTTGTCTTTGCTGTTTCTGCACTCATGTTCTGAAGGTCTCAGTATTTTTACTTCTTGTGGTGGAGTGCTGGTACGGTCTTTTTCTGCAAGGACAAAGGACAAAGAAGAATCACATTAACACACATGACTAAAACTGCCTTTAGATCTTGTGCACATGCCAGGCAAACATAAACATTAACGCACAAAAACATGCAGGCCAACTTTTTTT